CAACAGCACTAATATATAAAATAAAAATATATGAATAAATACATTTCTGTTATCAGTTGATCATGTTTTATTTGTTGTTTGACTTGTTTGCAGTACACGTTTTGGAACTTCATCCCAAAGAATATGTTCGAGCAGTTCAGAAGAGTTGCCAACTTCTATTTTCTCGTCATATTTTTGGTTCAGGTAAAAAAAATCTTTGTGGCAGCTTCCAACATGTGTGAACAGCACACTATGTATAAAAGAAGAAAAGAAAAAAAAACCTGTAAGCATAAAGAAATACACCCGTATTTGTAGAAGAATAATAATAAAAATATTTGTTCTTTATACATTTTATAGAAAGTTCTAGAATGTGTTTACAAAAAACAGAAGAGTCTATTAAATAAATACCAGCCTATATTTGATCAAAATGTCAAAGTAAAAATGAACTTCAAATGCTTTAATATATCTTCATTAAAATATCTTATTGCTGCACTGGTACAGTATTTGCTGTGGTCAGCAGTCATCAACATACTGTAAATATAGACTGAAGCCTGTAATGTTAACAAATTAATCAGTTCTAATTAATTATTTTTGTGTAAACACAGCTGATCATCGACACTCCCACAAGTCCAATCACCAGTGGACTCCCGCTTTTCTTTGTCATCACAGTCACCGCCATTAAGCAGGTGAGACCTAAATCATTTCAGCACTGAAGAAAAATATAAATGCAGCACTTGTGTTTTTGCTCCCATTTTTTACGAGTTAAACTCAAAGATCTAAGACTTTTTCTATGTGCACAATAGACCTTCCTTCAAATATTGTTCAGTAATTTGAGTAAATCTGTGTTAGGGGGCACTTCTCCTTTGCAGAGATAATACACCCCACCTCTCGTGTGGCAATCATGCTGATTATTGCACATGTGCCTTAGGCTGGCCACAATAAAATGCCACTCTGAAATGTGCTGTTTTGCCTACTTTACTTTTGTTCTGTGTATACATTTTTGTCTTATCACTGACTTTTTACCAGCAACAACTTCAGAGTTAMCAAATGTCACCGCACCGATGACTTTCTGCTTCTCTGTCAGGGTTATGAAGACTGGTTGAGACATAAAGCAGACAATGCCGTCAACAAGTGTCCTGTCCATGTGGTGCAGGATGGGAAAGTGACCTGCAAGCAAAGTCGCAAGCTCAGGGTGCGTCTGTACATGGCCCTCATCCTGAGTAACATCAATTCATCTCTGAAGCGTTTGTTTTATAGACTGATGTGCATGCATTTTTCTTGATATTAAACTCTCATATTATGCACTTGAATAAGCAGTATTCACTTCAGAGCTATTGATATTTTATTTTATAGCTGATAAGTTAATGTTTTAGCCAAATTGCAATAATTAAGACTGGTTTAGCAATGCATGGGTTGTGATCAGAGCTCTGCATAAAAGATGTTCATTAAGCTATATGATTATAGCTGAATTTATTTTGTTTTACTGTCCTTTAGGTCCTTCAGGAAACTTCTAGTTAAGGACTATTGATGCTGAAAGAAAGCAAATAAACTTTTGGTCAAATTGTTGTTTTCACTTTGAGGAATGCTTGCRCAAGTTTTGATTGAGACCAAACTTCACTTTGAAGATGGGAATAATATTTTTTTGTTGTCTCAGGTCGGGGATGTGGTTTTTGTAACAGAAGATGAGACTTTTCCGTGTGATCTCATTCTTCTATCCTCGTCTCGGGACGACGGGACGTGTTTTGTTACCACAGCCAGCCTGGATGGTGAGAGCAGCCACAAGGTGTGTTTTAAATAAAGTTACTTTAATTCAAATCATCTATCCATAACACATCTAGTTATTTGTGTTTTTGTGTCCCGTCTTGTTTATATCACCTCTGTTTTTGTTTGTTTTCTTATTATCCTTTTTATTCTTAGAATTTAATCCTCCTTCTACTTTTTTAACTTTCAACCTAGACCTACTATGCAGTTCAGGACACCAAAGCTTACAAAACGGAGGAGGAGGTCAGCTCCATACATGCCACWATAGAGTGTGAACAACCTCAGTCGGATCTGTACAAGTCAGTTCAAAACAGACACAAATACAGAGTTCAATAAATGTTTTAATGTTCGTCTCGTCTTAATTTTTCCCTTCTTATTTCCCCCRCTGCACAGATTTGTGGGTCGTATTAATATCTATATGAACAATGAGCCAGTGGCCAGGTAATGTGCTTCTCCAACAAAAACATATAGTTTTTTACCCTGTTTTTACCCTGACTTTCTGTAGCTGAGAAAATATTAACAACGAGATACAATTTCTTTATTTTAACACATGTACAGGTGTTAAATCTACAGTTTAATAGCTTGAAAAATTACAATACATAATTCTGTCTTTGGCATTTATATTATGCAAGCCCTATTTGACTAATCAGGGACAAAAGTGATGACTTACTTGTTCCGTTGTGGTTTCAGGCCGTTGGGATCAGAGAACCTGCTGCTCCGAGGAGCYACACTCAAGAACACTGAATATATTTATGGTAATACAAACAGAAATCACTAAAATACATTAAAAATAACATCATTAAGATTTACGATCCTGTCTGATTTTTATTTATTTCAAATTTTCATGATTTTTTTTTAATGGAGTGCTGTAGGTTATTTTAAACTGAACTATTCTCATTGCTTTCAGCTGTTGCCATCTACACTGGTATGGAAACCAAGATGGCTCTCAACTATCAGTCCAAGTCTCAGAAACGATCTGCAGTGGAGAAGTAAGCTCTTCGTCTTTTCATTTTCTTTTTATAAACTCTGTCCAGAAAAAACACTAAAAAAACCTGTTGGCATTGATTGACGGTCTTATCTAAGCTTTCTTCTTTGGCAAAGTCCCTTTTCTCATGCTGGATTAGATAATTATATCTTTTTTTTTTTTGCTCATCCATCTGTCCACTTCTCATATATTCATTTATTCACTGTCTCTGTGTTAGTTTGTCTGTCGCTCGCTGCACTGACTGAATTAATTTCTTTCCATCTGGCGTTGATGGAGTCTTGTACCCAGATGGCTTGTGGAAATGACTGACTGGAGGTGGATTTCATTTGGTTACTGTCTGCTGAATGACTTCACTGGCATTTATTTTCTTTTTCTAAAAACTGACTTGGCTCACAGAAAATGTTCGGTGCCGTTTCGTTTGTTGTACTTGTGTGAACATCTCGGCACTTTTTATGATTCCTTTTGCTTTTTTCTCCAACACTGGAAACAGAACACAGTTTTTTCCCCACTCGGTCACAGTGAGAAAATTAAAATGCACCTTTTGATTAGTTTTTAATATATTAAACATGGGCGGCTGTGGTGGAGTGGTTAGTGGAGTCGTCCTAGAACTGGAAAGTCGCCGATTCGATCCCCCGTCCAGCCGTCTCAGTCATTGTGTCCTTGGCCAAGACACTTCACCCGCCTTGCCTATTGATGGTGGCCACTGATAACGTTTTTTATCCTTGACAACCAAGCCAACAACCAACAGTTGMGTTTTCCTTTCTGCAGGTCGATGAATGACTACCTGGTGGTCTACCTGTGTATCCTCATCAGCAAAGCCATCATCAACACGGCGCTGAAGTACGTTTGGCAGGCCGATCCGAACAGAGACGAGCCCTGGCACAATGAGAGGACGGAAGCCGAGAGGCAGAGACACATCGTGAGTCTTTAAGTCACGTCTTCCATACCTCATTTAGACATCTTCATCTTTTCATTCGCTCCTCTTCGTCCTTCTCTTCAGCTGATCAGGGCGTTCACCGACTTCCTGGCATTCATGGTCCTCTTCAATTACATCATTCCTGTCTCCATGTACGTCACCGTGGAGATGCAGAAGTTTCTGGGCTCCTACTTCATCTTGTGGGACGATGAGATGTTCGACGAGGAGCTGGGGGAGAGAGCGGTCGTCAACACGTCGGACCTGAACGAGGAGCTGGGACAGGTGCGCCGCTCTCCGAGCAGGCTGAGGATCAGTGACGTTAATATGGTATAATTACACCACGTGCTCTTTTTCAGGTGGAATATGTTTTTACAGACAAGACGGGGACTCTGACAGAGAACAATATGGAGTTTATAGAGTGCTGTGTGGACGGACATGTTTATGTGCCTCATGCCATCTGTAATGGACAGGTAATGCTCAAAATGATTTGATAATTAACTTTTACAGAAGCTTTGCTTCTGTTCTGACGCGACATATACATTTAAGTGACAGAAAGGAAGCACTTGCTTCGGATGTTATCATCCATTAAATGGACGTTATTAGTCGTTATCAGTCCCATAGAATGGCTTTAGATTGTCAGCTGGTTAGTATGAGGCATAAAGCCAATAAGGTTAATTTTAGGGAAAATGACATGGGGTATGATAAAGTAGACCATTGTTGCAGGCCCAACGTAGGGCAATGGGCAGAGTTTTGGACCAGAGCGGGAGAGCCAGGACCGAGACCAGGCATGGACAGCAAGAAAACAGCGAGAAAACCGCTCCCCTCCCCACCCTGGACAAAAAAAAATAAAATTAAAATATGGCTTTGTTATTTACGCATTCAATGTCATTGATATATTAACCCACTAGGGGGCACTGTCGGGACAGTCCACCAGGGGGCACTGTCGGGACAGTCTGAAGCCATTCTATGGGACTGTAAACCGCTAATAACGTCCATTTAATGGACTGATAATGTCAGAACCAGCTTAAGGAAGAAGCTTTTAAAATTAAACTTGACTCATTTCAAACTGTCTTTATCAGAATCTTTACCACTTTAATTTAACTTTCTAACTTTGTCAATTGTAATGCAACTTTATGTACATTTATAGTCAGATTTGCTTACGAGTTTATCGGCACGCCGCCTGTCATCGACCAGTTTGTCATCAAAAATCAAGCGATGTTAATGCTCTTTGTCGTCACCAGGTGATGCCTGGTTCTGACACCATTGACATGATCGACACGTCTCCAGGACCCGATGCCAGGGTGAGCCTCATCTCACTAAACTCTCTGCTTGCTTGTGAATTACTGTGTGTGTGTGTGTGTGTGTGTGTGTGTGTGTGTGTG